TAAAAACCTGTACTCAGAAAACTACAGAACACTAAAGAAAGAAATTAAGGAAGACACAAATAAATGGAATCATATACCATGTTCATGCAGCCAGGTTTTTCTTAAGCAAATATATAATTCAGTTTTTTCTTTTACTTTCTTCAAATAAAAAATTATAAGACTAGACGTTGGCTGGGTAGCTCAGTTGATTAGAACATTGTTCCAATACACCAAGGTTATGGGTTTGATTTCCACTCAGGGCATATATAAGAAAAAAATTTTAATTACAAGAGTAAAAATTTAGTAAATAAACTCTTTTCTTTGGCCTTGTATTTTTTAATGTAGGATTTGTACATATTTCAAATACATATTCAGGCATTTATGCATCTCATTAAAAATATAATAAATTAAAAACATATATGTTCATATATATGTATGTGTAGAAAAAGTTTTTCTGTGAAGAGTACACAGAATATTAAAGAATTTTTCTTTAAGAATATTAATATATTTCCACAGTATTTTACAGTTATGTATATATAAGAATTCTTTTTATATATGAGGATATTCAAATTTATAGATGTTAAGGAAGTAACCAGGTTATTCAACATATAAATACTATATATTAAAAAATATAACTTATACCTCCTGAAACCCAGATTATTATTCTACCTCAGCAATTTTCAACTGGTGTGCTGTGGCAGGTACACCATGCAAGAGGCACACTGGTGTGCCACAAGAATTTTTAAAACATGCAAAACCTGACTATTTAGTCAAGAGGACTGATCTTTTTTCCTTTAGATTGTCAAGTAAAAAAATGACAACAGCCAACACAACAATAGCTGTCAGCATAAGTGAATCAAAGTTATACTTACCTTTTGTTCAGATCTGCAAAAAGTATATGAATTGGTGTGCCACAGTATTTTAGTCATTAGTTTGTGTGTACCATGAGATAAAAAAGGAATCTGGTCAACAAAACAAACAAGCAAAATATAAACACATATTGAAATAAACAACAGACTGATGGTAACCAGAGGAGAAGGGGGAAGTGGGTAATGGGAAAAAAGGGGAAGGGTCATCAAGGAACATGTATAAAGGACCCATGGACAAAGCCAAAGGGGGGTAGAATTGACGGTGGGGAACAGGTTGGGGATGGGGGGAAATGGAGACACTGTACTTGAAAAACAATTTAAAACATTTTTTTAAAAGGTTGAAAATCACTGCTTTATCCAGTATACTCTAGTGTCATTTAATAATAAAGTCAAGATAGATAGATTGATATAGAAACAAGGTAGATTGATATAAAAATGTGAAATACTGACAATTTTAAAGAATGTAATCTGAAATAAGGAAAACAATCATATATATTTATGCTAAATTGATCCTTTGCATTATAATTATATGTAATTATATATGCATTAAAATTATATAATTAAAAATATAAAAATAATATATAAATATGTATGATTATGCTCTAATTCTATATTTTTATGCTAAATGTAATATACATACAGAATAGTTCATTAACCATATATTAAAACAAAATGTTTTTAAATAAATGTAGATGTATCCCATCTCAGGTTAAGACATAAAACTGATCAATGCACAATAGTTCCCTCAAAAGTGCTTCACAATTTTAATACCTGTCTTTCTCTATAGCAGTTATTATCACTCTAATATTTATGATATTAGTTTATTTGACTTTATCATTTTAGACCATAAATAGTCTTTTTGAACTTATTGTATATGAACAAATAATATATTTATTATAATTTTCAGCTTCTTTTGTTGAACATTATTTCAGATGTACCCATACATTTAATATATTACATTATATTTAAGATGCGTTCATACATTTCTATCTCAGGTATTGACACATACGTTTTTTTTAAACAGTCTACCATGGAGAACACATTTAAAAATATGTCATAATACAAAAACCAATATATGTGAACATCATGGAGAAAATAATAGAATTCATCATTGTAAGACCAAAATCTTAGGAAATTTATAAATGGAAGCTTGACATTTTAGAATATTGTGCTCTAGCAGTATCTGCAAGTTCCAGATACTGGCTACATTACTAAAAGGATATAATTTCTTTTCAATACTCACATGTAAAACATGTAAAAAGAAAATTTTGAAAGGATCCACCAGAAAACAATAACTCAGTCGATGATTGACATCCTTTAAAAATTTGACATTATTTACATATGTAGAATATTTATCCAACTGCAAATATACACCTTTTTTTCCCAATGGCATATGGAACACTTATAATATTGATCATATTCTGGGCTATATAGCAAGTGTAAATAAATTTTAGTGGATTTAAGTTTTACAGAGCATGTACTCTCTCTGACCACAGCAGAACTGAAATTAATAAAAAAAAAGATAACTAAAACACCACCCACATTAGGAAGTTAACTACTACATGAATCTATAGTTGAAAGAAGCAAGTGAAATGGAAAGTAGAAAATACTTTTAAATGATAATAAAAATTACACATACCAAAGCTTTGTGAGATGTAGCTGAATCTGTAACTACAGGAAGATTTATAGCATTAAATAAAAAAAAAGGAAAGGATGAAACCCAGTGTGATAGCAACAATCCCCAAAAGCTATAAAATTAACACCAAATTTAGGAAATTAAAGTAAAATTATGATAATGTTAAGTATTAAGACAAAACAAAAGTCAATAAATTAAAAGCAAGCATAAAATAGGAATAGACCTAATGTAATTTCTTTGAAAAAAACTTAAAAAATGATATACCCTTATAAAAGTGACTAAGAACACAGAAATAAAGAGCAAATAATAAATAGCAAGGTAATAAAAGAGAGTTTAAAAAACTATACAAAAAATATAATGAATAAGTTTAGGCTTACAAATCTCAAAAATTAGGTGAACTGGAAAGTGACTAATGAGAAATCCTAAGCAAATGGAGACAAGAAAAAGTGGAAAACACTAGAAGCACTATAACAAGTACAGATATTAAGTCCAGAAATAGAATTCTTCCCACAAATAAAAGTCATGAGTAGATGACCTCTAATATTTGAAGAAGTAATAAGGCCCATGTTACACATTTTTTTTTCAGAAGAGAAAAATGGGTGCACTGTGTAATTCATTTTATGAAGCCAACAGAATTCTGATATGAAACCCTGGCAAGGATATTATAAGATTAGAAAATTAAAGAAGAAAGAAGAATTATTAAGATTGCTGAAGAAAATCTATGAACAATATCATTCAGAGATATTTGAAAGACAGTTGTGACAGGAACTGTGCAGTCCTCAATATGGAATTACAAAGTGAGTGAGCTGGGAATGCAGACCACATCAATAAAGTCTTGGCATTTAACAATGCTTACAATATGTCAAGCATCTTCTATGTGCTCTGCTCACTTAATTCCCACAACTATCCTATAAGGTGAGCACAATTTTAACCCCACCACACTATTCTGCCTCTTTCTCCTTCTTCTTCTCTTACTCCCCAGCAAAATCAGCACTGGGACATTGGTTTACAGATGATACCTTACCCATTGCAGTTTGTCTAAACCTCACTGACTTCCTAAGACATAATGAAAGGTAGTTTCTAACAGTGCTGCGAAATTGAGATTTGCAACAACAAAGGACAAGAGAGGAAGTTTATCAGAAAAAAAAATAAAAGAGGCAACAGGAGTAAGTAATCCCTGAAATAATCTCCAGCTCCAAGGATGTTGTTCTAGTATCCAGTTCCTGGAAATTATGAAACCCTGACAGTGGTCTAAATTTGCCCTAATTAGAATGAGAAGAGTGAGGCAGGTGCAAGTACAGTAAGTCTGGAAATGCAATAGAAGACAACACTGAGTTGCTCTTTCTTCTGAGAAGTGTCATGACTTTGCCATTAAATTATCACTCTGCTGAGAGTTCTTTGTCCTGATTCTTGATGTGCACATCTAATTGCACATTAAATAAATGGGTTAGAATACAGCTCCTACTATCTATGAAAGTAAAGATATTTATGAAGTTTTGCAAAGTGCTTCAAGACTAGAGAAAGGCACTGTGGCAAATACAGATTGTTGATAATGTTACTTTGGCTTTAGATAGTGGCTTTGCTCCAATGTGCTGGAAGCCCTTGTACAGTATACTGATTTGTAAAATGACTACAGCATCTTTCTTCTGAAGAGCCCATTTCTTAATGTCTTCAACATAAACTTAAATTACAAGACTCCAGATATCCCCACATTGATACCCATCCACCTTCAATCATTTACTTGTATGGCAATTCTGTGGGACTAACCAGGTACAAAAGTGGTTGGGATCAGACACAAATCTGGTAAGCATCCCAAAGCACCTACTAGTAATCCAAATCTTTTTAAATCTGTTTTTGCTTGTTTCTTCTGAGTTTTTGTTTTGTTTTATTCCATAATATTTTATCTATTTTTTAAGATATATATTTTTAAATGTGACTAACTGATATAAACCTAATATTAAATATTTTAAATTATTATTATCAAACTGATAAATTAAGTATGCCAATTTAATTTAAATTTAACTTCATACATTAAGCTGTATAATAAAAGAGTCAACTAAATATAAGTTAAGACTGAGAAACTATTGATTTCCTATAGGCAACTGAATTGCTTGTGATATAAATTGAAATTTTGAAAGCAATTTCTTTATCATAACTATTTTAGCTAAGTAACTTTTTCTGCCAAGAATATGGATTACTCAGGCTTTTTGCTAAAAAAACACACTTTAAATAGTGATTTTAGATTAATTTTTAAATAAAATACGACTTTATTTAAAACTTTTAAAAACAAATATGTCATTTGCAACACATTTTATATAAAAATTGAGGGATTACCTAAAAATTTATTCTTTTTACAAATACTCTAAGACTGAACACAGTGGAAGAATTATAAGAGAAAGGTACAAGTAACTACCAGTCCATGGGTATATCAGTCAGGTTGAAGCAATTTTGCTGTTTAACAACTGTGTAAACTCCATTAGCTTAAAATAGTAAACATTTATTTCTCTCTCACTTACGTCACTGTATGTAGCCCTGAGGTCTGCTCCCCCTGAAATCAGAGTTTGGCTCCAAGCCACGGCTTCTATTCTGGCTACTCCAAATGCTTTCTCATTCTCCTTGCCCGTGGCTACTCCAAACATTGTCTTCTGATGCAGATGGTATAATTGTGAGGTCAAGACAAGGCTCAGGCACACAGTAAAGCTTCTGTTCCTGTTCCACCCATTAACATTCCATTGGCCAAAGCAAGCCACGTGTAGAAGTTGGAAGTCAACAGTGCAGGGAAAATATACCTGACCTATTCTAGTGAGATTTTTATAGAACTACAAAGTGACATGGCAAAATGTGTGCATGACTAATTCTTTTACAGACAGGGAGTGAAGAATTGGGAACAATAACCCAAAACACCACTTTAGGGAAATCACCATTCTCATATTTTTTAAAGAATAATCTTTGCCTGCCTGCTTTCATGTTTTCAGAAATGCAAACATTTTCAGAGTTTTATAATATAACCTGCCACTGATTTATTTCTATGGAAGCCTAGGAAGCTAAATGCTTAGGTGAATTTTCTACCCATTTTAATAGTTCAAAACCAGAGAGAAAAACATTTGAAGAAAAACAAAAAATAAATTATTTGTGATTAAAGTGAAAGTGGACAGCAAGCAATTTTTCTGAGGTATGCAAAACAGTGGTTTCTGAAGTCTTTCCCTAAAATATTTATTAATCGCTAAATCTATGTCTCTCAATAAACACAATTTTTACATAAAAATATAGTAAAATGTAACAAAATATAAGTGTCTTGCTTATGTTCTAATGAGTTCATAAACATTGCATTAAAGATTTTGTATAAAAATATTAAATTGTTCCACAAAAATTCTCTAAATAGACTTTTATTACATAACTTACTATAGCAATAACCGTAAAAATATTTAAACTGTGTAACTAAAACACTGAACTTAATAAAAATGTTTTCTTTGGTATGTCACAAATGTTTATGAAGACATTTCTACCCAACTAGCTAATTCCAAGTGCAAAGAATATTTGTTCTGTTCTATAATTTCTATCTTCTATGAGTTTCTTTACCTTGTGGGTAATACTTAGGCAGTAATAGAATCAGCTTATACCATTCCTGTTAATGTTACATATTAACATTATCTGGGATATCACAGATTTAACACAGCTTTCAGTATAAATGAGTTCAAATATGTGAACACCCCTTATATGCTGCTCCAAACCTTTACCCTGATTAATAGTACTCCAGTGTTTCTGCTTCATTCATCTTCCCAATATTTTAGAGAACTTTTGGGCATATTTGTATACACCCATGAAATGGCATCAGTAATCTCCAAATGAGCATAATAGAAGCACACATCAGAAGGACAGAAGATGCAGTGATCAGCTTTGATCATCATCACATCTTTGCTTGCTTGCTTGCTTGCTTGCTTGCTTGCTTGCTTGTCTGTTTGTTCAGTGTTGAGTTGTATGAATTCTTGACCATCCTAGTAGCTTGATATGCATAAGTGTTGCACTGGCATTGCCTCTCACTATTCACAGATTGAGAAAAATTTCACAGAAGGACATTTACCATGTTCTTTGTCTGTGAGACATTCTATAAATGAAGTCACAAAGGATGTCTGAGGATGGTGGCAGGCTTCTGCCTGATTTGTTAAATTTCCTAAAGCATTCATAACTTCAGAGTGGTTGAACTGAGCTGGGTAAAAGCAGCCCCCATTGCACTGGTAACTAAGAACTCTCTTCAGTTCTTGAGTGTGTTTTGTTTGTCAAGACCATAATCAGGGAGAAGGCTCTTCTCCAGGGCCTTCTGGTTTCTTCCTCATATCTGACAAAAGTTGAAGACCACTTCATTACATTACATATATTTGCATATACCCAAACTGCATGGGTTCAGAGTTAAAATGTTCATGTATCAATAGATGTGAACAGAAACGTGGAAAAGGGTCACCACCCAATTCCACAAATCAGTAAAATTTAAGGCCCAATTAAAGTGGCTTTGTTTGAGGAAAGATAGGATTTAAGTTGAAGATTCAGCTGTCTCAGCCACACAGGACCCAACTAAATGCCTTGTTATATTCATATGACAAACATGCATGCAAATAAATGCTTTCTAAAATTCATAAGTCCTTTTTCAGTCATGGAAAATACTTTAGTAACTATAAACATAGTTTTATCTCGAACATTTTCTTAAGGCTCCTAACTATCTCACTAAAATGAGACCTGAGAATAAGTTACTTCACACATGTTCATAACAATAAGAACATCTGACTTTCATTAAGGTGACTTTCACACCAGAGAAATAATTTTCAATTGTGATATACTCACTAAAAGAGTTTTTCATGTGGTATGAAAAATAAATTGGATTTATTCAAGCCATACATCCAAGTCACCATAGCTTCAATCGAGTTTATATTATACAGCAAACTCTATGTTTTACTTAAGACTCAACTATTTTTATCGCATTTACATTTTCTTTAGGAAATAATAGACTTTTTCATTGAACTTTGTTTTCCCAAAGGAATGAAGTTTTATTTTGCATGTGATATATAACCCAATATTTTTCAGTACATATTTAGTGAGTACCTACTATGTATTGAATAAATGACAGGTGGTATCAGAAGAAGGCTAGGAAGAGAAAATTGCATGTGAATTAGACTAAACAAGTATATAAGCATAAGATTTTTAGGTTGTTTAACATAGTGGAAGTTGAGACATTTGAAAGGGTTGGAATAAAGTAGAGTTTGTAAGAAGTTTGGACTTTGTCCTGAGTGTAATGGAAAATCATTGAAGCAGTATAAACAGATAAATTCTATAACTAAATATGCATTTTAGAAAGACTAATGAAGTATAGAGGCTACATTGAAGAGTATGAAGTTGAAGATGCCAGATAAATGGTTATACAATCTAAACAGGAGATATGATGTGAGACTGAAATTAATGGTACCAGAAGTAAGAAAAATAAAAATATTGAAGCTGTATTTTGGAGGTGAGAGCTATAAAATTAGATAGCTTGAATTATGGGATAAGAAGCAGAGAAAAGTTTAAGACAATTCCCAGGTTTGAGGCTCAAACGGTGAAGTGTATGGTGTGTGGTTCACTGGGATAGGCAGCACAAAGGGTTAGGCAGTGTGAAGAGGGGGATGACTATGGTGGGGCATACGATGTGAGTTTAAGATGACTATAAACTTCCAAGAACAAATATCTAAAGGTAGATAGAGCGTAAGCTACAGTAAGAGAACCCAGCAAGAAATATTCCTGTGGGAGTCATTGGCATATATATCGCACTGAAAGTCCTGGGGGTAGGCAAAATAATCCAGGATTCCCAAAAGTTACCAACACTTTAAGAAAGAACAGAGTAAAAAAATTCACTGATGAGCATTAAGAAGTTGAGGCCAGAAAGGCAGATATAACACAAGGACAAGATGTTGCCCCCAAAAAATGAGAATCCATTTCTAGGTTATCAGTGGCAAATGCTCTTAGGAGATCAAATATGATGAAAGATTCATTACTATGTTTAGTAACATGGGATTAGCAGCTTCAACTTTATAAAAGGGATATCAATGAAGTCATGGGGACAGAAACTAGATTGCTCTAGTTTTAGAAGTGAAGAGAAGGGGAGGAGGTGAGCCAGGAGCCCAGTTCCGTAGTCATACTGAAGGGAAGGGACAGCAAAGAAAGTCCAGGTCAGGGGGGAAAGAGCCAACAGTAAGTATACAGCACAAAAATTATTTTTTTTTGTTCTAATCTCTAGGGGATTTTTATCGCAATCATCTGAAATACAGGTGTATGCTTCAGAAGATTCGCAAATAGCTACATCCAAAGGAATTAAAAATCTCAGGAATAGTGAACGAGGAAGTGCTGAAACATTGTGAGATGGTTGTCAACTCCTATGTCCATAGTCCTATGTCTGTCACATCTGAAAATATTCCAAAACCCAAAATCATAGGCTTTAAGTAGTTAAAAGAGTTAGTACTTTTGTAAAGTATATTGCTTTAAAAAACTTATTTATATTATTACAAATTTCATTTAACTTAAACTTCAGTTTCAGATTACACATGGTCTTTGAAATATTATTTTCAAAATGATATATTCTCTAGAAATTGAAAGTATTTTCTAATACTTTCAATTTGAATAAGTTTCTTCAGAAGAAACCCATTCCTATTACACACATCTTTTATTGCTATGTTTTAAATTTGCTGTTTCTAAAATAGAGCTTCATCTATTAATTCATGTGCTAAACACATTTATTCATAACACTGTATCTTTTTTAAGAACCATTATGTACTACATGTTTTAATAGGGGTGGAGATTTGGTTGGTAAATTAGAAGAATCAGTTCTTCGCCTTATAAAGTGTAGAGTCTAGGGATGATAGCTCAAAAAAAAAACCAGTAAATTCAAGTATAAGGAATGTGAAGATTTTATTGAAATGTCTAACAGGCTTATCTAGTTTACTTTGAGGATTTACACAAGAACACAAATGACCACAGGACATAACCTTATAAAATTGTTTGAAAATTTAAAAAATGTATTCTATAAAAACACCTTAACTTCATATAATTCTATAGTAGCATATAAGAGAGTAATCAAAGTTCAAAGAATTTTTTAAATGAAATGAAAGAAACCCATTATAATTATCTGCAATTACCAGAAAGGTGATATTATAATTTATGTAATGTTAAAAACTATTAAAAGTGGGATGCTGTAGAAATAATACATTGTAGTTAATTGCATTTTCTGGAAAATTGAGCATAGGAGTTTTTATTGCAATGCCACCTTTGAATTGAAAGTTTATTTTAGTATAATCATATTTTTAATTGGTTAAGAATCTGTAATCTCAGAAACCTCTCATTGTTCTTAATGTGAATATAACATTTGGGAGGCATACATTCTAACCACCTTTCTAAACAACTGAAAGAAAAGCCAAAGCAAATATTTTAAATATAGGGGGACTTTAAATTTCTTTTTAGACTCATTCATTGACTTATTATACAATTACTACCTGTTCTATTGTTGTTTCAGTGTTTCAGAGATTTAAATGTATAGGGACCTAACCCTTCTTATAAACCATCCCAGAGGATACATATTTTAGCCTGTCATTTCACAGAAAGAATTATTAAAAACGAG